GTGTAAAACCATAGACTATGAGGAGGTCATTACTTACAAGAATTCCATTATGAGATTAATTAAAGAATTACAGCTGCAGTAAAAGGAGGGCAGATGAAATTAGAAATAAATTATTTTGTTTAAAATCTTCCTCAATTATTTCAACCACCCTTGGTGAAAGTGGCAAGGGAAAAAAGAAACTCTCACATAAAATGGATTAATTCCTTACATTTTACAGGGCTGGATTCTCCTAAATAAACCACAGAGATGCAGTCTTTAAGAAATCCATTAGCTATTCAGACCATGCCTTTTCCTAATCCAACATTATTACCTGCAGTAATTTTAAATATTATCTTAAGCCTAGTGTAAGATTTCCCATTTATAAATATATCCTCTTTTCAATATTTTCTTTGGGAAACAACTCAGTTTTACAAACATGCACGTGGCTGTAACTTCATAAGGATGTTTATGGAATGAATTTAAAGAAATTTCACGGTGTAGCCTTTTTTTTTCTGGGTTCTGAATTTAACCTTTTTCTCTTCTCCAATTGATTCTGCTTTGATGTGATATGACTGCATACAAGCATCCTTCAAAAGAATGCAGACTGGATTTCTCCTGTTCAGTTTAATTTCAGTTTAACTAAGCTTGTGAATCCTTCCTCATGGTTCAGGTGGAGCCATCACAGCTGCAGCAGGAGTGAGTGACTGCATTTCTTTGCTCCTTGACACTGTGCATCTGTTCCTGCTCTAGCACCAGAAATATGCAGCTTGTTCTCCCTTGTATCGCATTCATATTTGCAAGGATTTTCCAGACCACCTCCATTTTGAGTTCTTCAGAGTATTGCTGGATGCATCTTCCCAAGGAGAAGATTATTGCCATGAAAAAAGTATTTTTTAAATCTCTGCAGATAGGTAAGTAATAACTCCTACTGCCAAAGGAAAAATAGAGCTTGGAAATTGAATAAAATGTAAAAGAATATTCCCTCCTGTATGTGGAAATCACTCCCCTCACCTGCTGTGAAGATTACTTTCTGTCTTATTTTGATTTAAGTACATTTTCCACACACTGTGCCCTCTCTGTTACACAAGAGCCTTGCAAAGCCCAGGCTATGGTTGATTTATAAGACCTGCCAGCTAATGGGGTCACAATTGGTATTGCCATAAACCCAGGAATATTTTTTCCTTTACTGTTTTCCCTAAGAATACTGATTTTTAAAAGTAAAATTTCACAAATTTTGTGCAGGTAAGAACAAGAAAAAAATCCCTTAGGAGATAACATAGCTGAAAGTAATGTTTGTGTAACAGCAGCAATGGCCTTTCCAACAGCAGAGAAGTAACTCTGCAATAGAGTGTCAGCAGTGTTTGGTCACATAACTGATGAAGATTTTGGTGTTTTCATTAAAAAGTTTAAATATTTTTGAAATTCCTTTCATTGTAGGACAGACACTTTCATTTCCAGTGCTGTCCCATCAATACTAGATCTGCACAAAACAGTGCTCAGAACCAAAATCTGTTTTTCCCTCATATTCTCGGGAGATTGAGTTTTAATTAACTGTATTTTCTGTAGAAAGCAAACAATTCTTTAATTCTGTAAAAAATTGTGGAACAAATTTATGCCATTGGCTGTGCTATATTAGAGAAAATTCCTTCTCCCCTCAAGTCTAAAGCTGTGAGTCACTAAACTGAGTCCTAAGTGTTCTACTTATCTCTACATTTTCAGTCTGAAATTGTTCAGAGTAAGGACTGTCATACCTTAAATATAGATCATTTTGTGGAATGTAATTTTACACAGCAGTGGAGCAGTATAGCAAATAAAATGTCAGCCAAAAATGCTCTAGCTTTATGATCCTGGATACATGCTGAAGGAAACACACTTTTTTCTTTGCACTCAAAAAGAAATTTTGCCAGAACATGCATTAAAAGAGGTCAACAGTCCTGCAAGGTGCTATTAATGCATAAAGTAATTTTCATGCAGTTTCACACTTTCTATCCTAGAGCACTTTGTGAAATTAATAATAAAGAGTATAAAAGATGGACTGAGGGAAGCCTAAAGAACTTCACAGGAGCAAACAGGGAAGTATCTTCTTCCTATCTTCTTTTAAGTATCACATACAAACACATTTTCATAAAATCATGATTTTACCTAGAACACACCCTTGCAATAAGGTTTCATTGTGCTGAAATCCCAACAAAGCAGACTCTGCCTGTTAGCTCACATTAACTGAGTCTTTGGCTGATATTTCCATGGAAGGTATGCTGATCTTTCTAGTAGTGTCAATAGAATCACATTACTGCTCGAGTCATCATTTTCTAAGAGCTATTTGGCAGCTCACCATTCATCCCCTACAGTTAGATTCAACACTGTTTACAGATCTAAAAAACAGAGTTAGCTATATACAAATTAAAGAGATCCTTCATTATTTTTTCTAATGTGGTTAATTTCATAATAAAATGCTATATCTACTTAAAAATGCAACTTTTGCTTTTTTGACCATAAATCTTAATGCTTTATTTGTGATATCTGAGGTTTTAGTAACAATAAATGCTTTGTCTGCTTGATACAAAGTGTTCAGTGGTTTAATTAAAGGGGATTAATTGAATTAACCAAATTAATTAATTCGGTTAAACCAAATGCTTAGAAAGACAAGGTTAAAAAGTAGTTGTGTTTTGCTATTCATTATTGTGTGAGTGTTCACAATCCACTCCAGCACAAAGTCAGCTGGGTTGGATGGAATCACTGGTGAAAGCAGTTGAACTAACCTTGCTGACTTTACACTGAAATAGGGTTTAATGACTTTAATAAACAGCAGGATAATGAGAGCAGAAAAAAGAGCAGCTGGAGCACTAACAAAATGAATTATGGCATCACAGCTGAGATTGATAATGAAAACCCCTGGACAGTAACTTCTCCAACCAGTACAGCTGTTTCCAAATAGCCATCTGCCTGGGCCCCAAGGCTATTTGATGTGGGGATACTCTTAAATGAACTTAGCAGAGCTCAGTTAAGAAATTACAGAAACATTGTGATAATACTGAAAGCTGATGTGGTATTAGCAATATAAACTTATACTGGTTGAAGCAAAAAAAAATTGAAAAGTGGTAATTTTGCAACTTTCTTTGATATGATGAAACAGCTGTGTGTCCTAGAGTCCTAAAATAAATTATTTGATGACAGGAAAGCTCTGTGAGAGTGACTAAAAGGAAATTTGTTTTTCCTTTTGAAACAATTGGCAAAGGAAGTCTTATCTCTACATAAGTCTCCAAAACAACTTAAGTATAGTTTATAGGAAGATTAAATTTTGTCAGACACAGGAGATTTTTAATCAATTCAATTGTCAAATGACACAGTCCACCCTTAACCCCTGTTTTTCTTCGTTGTAGCATTCTGAGAATGGTTCATCTTGTCCTCTGAAAATGAACTTGTAATTTTTCCCTTTAGGATTTTAGATGCACGAAGACTGCAAACTATGACTGTGGAATCATCTAATATAATATTCATCCTTTGCCACACTGGTGTGTTGTGAATATATAGGTTTGTCTCTTAGAAGTGAGAAACATGAATATCTAACTTTTACTGGTATCATGGACAATGGAATGTGAAAAAAAACATGCCTTGATGAGATGATAAAAATATTAACAAATTGAAAACAGAGTCCAAGCCACAAACATTAAATTGCAATCACTTAAAAGGCATTAGCATGCCTGTGAGGTCAACCTCTGTCATTATCTCCAGAAATGCAATTTTCCAACAATTAACACTGACAGAATTAACCATGTATTACAAAGAGAAAAATTCATCTTTTATATTTTGAATTTATAATGAGAATAATTTTATGATAGGAAATTTGAATTCACTGTTTTCAGATACTTAAACCCAGATACATATGTGTTTTCTTTTAAAAAGAAAAGATGCCTACAATTTTTTACCAACTCATAACAAACTGTAGTAGAGAGGCTATGAAATCCCACTTGAAGAAAACTGGTTGCTCTGCCAAAATTTTCTTTCTATGTCAGACAATGCCTCACTGATTTTGTCTTTTCATCATTTTTGTGGACTGTTACTGCATTATTTAATCTTCTAGGTCTAAGCTACTAAAACCAAGAATTCTACTTCCCTTACAGCATATGAACACCCCATATATACAAACACATATAAACACAGTTTTGCCTTGCTGTGATGTATGATATTGTTCCTCACAATTAATAATTTTCATTAAAATATCCTATAAAAGAGCCTATAAAATATCCCTCAGGCAATTTCAAGGACTGGTAAATAAAACCTGCTATTTCATAGATTAAAACTGCAATATAAATATAAATAAATGTTTGGAGAATCTACAGAGCCTTTGTAACAAACTCCTGTCACCAAAAATTATCCCTCTTCTGTAGTTCAGGGCAAAGATGATGATGATTATTTGTGTGCTTAAGTGAATGGTTACTTGGCCCTGTCAGTAAAGCCTTGTCCACAAACAGGACAAAAAAAATAATACATTACAGTGCCAGAAGCAATCTGGCTTTATTTCTCTTAGCAGTTTTTTTGGTTGTTTGAGTTTGTTTTCTATTTTTTCTTTTTAGAACTGTACAGACCAAATTCTGCTGTAAATAACTACAGGAAAATGCCAATAGAATATTTACCAGATAAAAATCCCACAGTCCAGAAAAATTATACTACAACCCATCTGGTAACAATCAGCTTTACATGATGAGTAGCTGGTAGGTGTCTAATCCTGCTCTAGAAAATACTGTGCCAGCAAATTGTCACAGTTTTCCAAAAGTATTGCATTTAAGCCCTATATTGTATTTTTCATTGCCACTTTCAGCTGCACAGGCAACTCAAGCAGAGTATTGACTGTAAAGACACAGCCAAGCATTTCCACCAGACATTACCTTTTCTCTCAGGATTTGTGTTCTACTGTGTGGCCTATTTTTTAGTACAACTCAAAGTATAAAAATTCAACACAATGTAAAAAACAAACAAACCAACCAACCAACCAAAAAAATCCCACAATTTAATTCACTTACCTTTGGCTTCCTGTTTAGCCCAGAATTTTCTCACCACATCATGAATGTACCTCTCCTCTCTCAGCTTCTTTTGCCACTTACGGAGCTCTTGTATTTCACTGTCACAACGAACCTGGGAAAGAGGAATCAGAAAAGAAAACTAAAATTATATACCTTTGTGTTATCCAGGATGAGGATACAAATTTTTTCACAAGGCTATGGCAGGGAAAATATGTGACAGCCATCCTCTCTGCTGGGCCTGAGGTAAAAGCAAAATCCCAGAGGTTTACAGTTTTCAGCTTACACAGAAATAAAATCCACATAATTGACAAATCCAATTGAAAACATAAATATGTCTATTAGGGGATCACTTTGATTACCAAGGACGCCTGGGAATGAGATTGCAGTAAGATGTTAATTCTCTGAGTTAATTAAAATTTAAAGCCTTATGCTGAAGGGTATTAGTGCCTTTAGAAAAGCATAACACTGTAAAACCAGCCCACTGACCAAAATAATAGAGCAGAAGAGGAGCATGAAGGGTCATGCAGAAGAAAATTTATTCCATCAACCTGATTCACACCTGCCATCAGCTGCAGATAGGCTGACTGGCAACCCCACCCACACAATTTTCACAAACAGGAGAGCCATTAATTTGTTATTTAAAGTAATTGGCCTGCATTACATGGTACCTATTCTTTGTCAGTCAATCACCCTGTGAAAGGCATAATTCTGCTTCCATACACAAGAAAAAAAATACAACAGTGAAAGGCTTTGATTTCATTTAGATGTAAGCTGAATTCTTCTAGAATTGTTTCTGTACTGGTGTAGTTTCCACTAACATAGAAGTGAACTAGCTCTGCATCAACTGAGCAGGATTCCACTTGTTGTAAGCAGGATTTGATTAATTAGCAGAGTGTTGCCCATGGTTGGCATTCACACAATTACTGCCTCCAGTGCACGAGATCCTGTCCAGAACAGCAGTGGAAAGGGACAGGCCAGCATTACCTTGGACACTGGGGATTATTCTCTTAGTCATACTCAAATTGTAAGAGAATTATTTTTAAAATGTATTTTTGGGGTTTGGAGTTTTTTTCTTAAATGTTACATATAAAAATGCAATTCTGTTTCAGGACTACATTCAGAGAAGCTGAGGCTGCCCCATCCCTGGCAGTGTCCAAGGCCAGGCTGGACGGGGCTCTGAGCATCTGCTCTGGGGGAAGGTGTCCCTGCCCATGGCACAGGGATGATCCACGGTGATGGAACTGGATGAGCCTTAAGGTTCCTTCCAACCCAAACCATTCCATGATTCTAAGGTTCAATGTCCCAGTAATCCAGTCTGAAGTGGAACAACATGGTAGAAACAAGCAGCAATAAATTCAGTTTCTCCTGGACACATTTTTGCTTGCAGGAAGATAATGACTTAGTTCCCTAGAAAATTTCTAAATAGAATTTTACACATTGTATTCTTACAGGATATTTGCTCTGTGACCTGAACTCTATGATATTCTCTTCTCCATTACACTCTGCTTTTCTCCCACTTTACTGAGACACATACAGAGCAAAAGAGCACAACTTAGTTTTCCACTAGTTATAGAAAACCCCAAACATTAAAGAAAATAGTTTAAATTATTTATCAAAAGTATTCTTTCCTCCCAGGATTTCTCCTCTGTGCTGCAGCTCAGAATGCAATAAACAGTAGCTGAACTCCCATAGCACTTTTCAATCCACTTAGGAGAAGATAACTTGCTATGTTTCAGACAGTGCACTGGCAGGGCAGAAATACAACACAAGGTTACTCAGTCAATAAAAACAGACAAGATTTTTGCTCAGTGACTTGTGATCAGATGCATCTGAGAGCTCCAATAATATTGCATTACACTGATATAGTTCTGTTTTATCTTCTATTAAAGTTATAAGGGCTTCTTACAACCCTTATAAGGTTCACAGAAATTCATAGAAAACCTTATAAGGGTTTCTATGAATTTTTACCAAATTAAAGAAATTACAGCTACTAGTGACATCAGCTATCCAAAAAAAAAAAAAAAGATAATGTTCTATTAAATCCATCAAATACTATTTTCAAATATAAAATATAATCCAAACACAGGATAATTTCTTTAGGCTTGCAAGAGACATTTTTTCTTTTATGCTGCCATGTATGCTTTTATAAGCCAAATAATTCCTAAATAATAAATGGAGTTTGTCTGCACAGGAAAGGGTTAAGGAAATGCTTATGTGGCACAAGGATATAAATGACAGAAGTGCAAGAGGCAGGGAGATGGAGAAATTACTACCTGTATATCTAAATAGAAAATTTCTGAAAACATAATGTGTCCATTTACAACCTCAGCTGTGTAAGACCTTGTATTTTGGCCTGTGACAGGGCCACAGCTGTCTCTGGATATTGAAAATAAAGACAATAATTCTTAACAGTTAAAAGATAAAAGACAAGTATAGTGGCTTCTGTATAGTCTCCCTAAGCAAATAAAACAGCGGCAGTGCAGTGAAATACCCAGGGAAATGCAGAGTTCTGAGATAAAGGCAGAGTCAGATACTCAAATACTCCAAAGACAGCATTAAATCCAAGCAGTAAAATGAGCTCCCAGAACAAAGTGTCTTTAGAAGTGACCAATAAAGGAAAAAAGAACACAGATATGCCACCTGCAGTAAAACAGGTGACAGGAATGTTACAAAATACCCTAACAAGTTCCAAATATGCTTAATAGATTATAGTTCAGCATAGTTATAATGCAGCTTAGCCTACTGATAATGCCTAAGAAAGTTCTTCTGCTTTGAAACCAGAATACAATGCTAGCATGATGAAAAAGCAAAATCTCCAGGCAAATAAAGAGAGAGTCAAGAATCTTCTCCAAACAACTGACATGTGTCTCCTGCAGCCCAGCCCTGGAGGAGTCTTAGCTTTGAAGGGGGAGTTCACTCCTACACTTGCTGGAAATAACAGGGAATATTTGTGTGACCTTCTGGGTTTAAGCCTTTGCTGGTAGCCACAGCTTGCTGGAAAGCAAGATAAACTGTGATATAAACTTTATATAAACAGATATAAACTGAAATGGTTTTTATTTTATATTGTGATAGCAGAAGCACAACTGCACCTTGTGAGATACAAAGCAAAAATGCAGCATTTTTATCTTCAGCTTTTGCTCAAAGGATGTGTATAAAATAGCACTGAATATTTACATAATGCTGTCCAATTACAACTCTAAGATTTTCCAAGATTTAGTTCAAACCTCCATGCTTTCAGTGCTAGGTGAGAACATGTAGCACAGCAGATAAGGATAACACTAAAGGTTCACTCACAGACATCAGAGGAAATTCTATTCATGAAAAATTTCTGTTAGTCTGGAATAGTTATGCAAATTTTAAAGATTAAAAAGAGCCCATTAAAAAAAAAGGCACTAAGCAAAGATTCTGCAGTAGAGGGGTGGAGGAATAGATCATATTTTGCTGGAAAAGTGCCTGGAAAATTGACACCAAGCTGAATATTGCCTTGGCCTGTGACAGATGAATGGAACCTCAATAAGAAACGATGGTGGAAAGTGAAAAGGAAGAATTCTGATGACAGAGCTGTCTCAGGTCTTACTTGAGTGCTGCTCCTGGCCCTCAAGGAGCCCTCTCAAGATGATGTCCTCCTTTCTGTGATCTCCTCAGAGAACTCAGCAGCTCTATTTTCCACTGCTATTTGTTGTGGAATTCAGTTCTTGATTAAACTTGAAATAATTGTCAGAGTGCTCATCAATGTCTTTGTATGAAATATTGTAGCAAGGACGTGGTTGATGGCAGCCATTAATTATTACTACAACAATTAAATAAGTGTTTTTCTGAAATGTGCTGCAGTTAAGGATGAATTTACTGTTTTGATCATGCTTTATTTATCAGAGTTCTCAAGATTCTGTAGCTTTTTTTCTCCTTTACATAGAAAACCTTTATTGCCTGATCCATTTTTGCATTTTTTGCCATGTGTTTTTGATACTGGCATGCTCAAACAGCTGGAGGTAGCAGGAACAAGTGAAGTATCAAGAGAAGACTTATGCTCAGTCAGTTATATAACTAGATAAACTCTACTGCCTGAATCAATATGGTCAAGAAAATACCTCAAAAAATGCTCTGAGTCCATAGAAGATGTGTCTGAGAAGACCAAGAATGAGGTACCTGTCTCTCCATCACACTGTCATGGTATCTGTGTGCTCAGGTTTAATTATCACAGTATCAATTTTTATTTCAAAAGCAGTATTTCAAAATTCTAAATCCTCTGAATTATAAAACAAAGTTTAAGGAAAAACTTCAGTGAATACTTTAAAATTCTGACACAAAAATATCTTTAGAATGCTAAAAGGCATTATTTGGAAGTATTCAGTTATTATCAGCTATCAACATTAAATCAGTGTTAGCTGACTTAGCTATTTATTTTAAAAGCAAGTAATCTGAATTCTTTGGCAATTTTTCATAATATACTTATCATTAATGTGATGAAATCCCATTTAAGCTTAGTGTTCTCTCAATCTGCAAGCCCAAGGATAACACACTGCCCTATGTAGTAATTTGGTACTAATGATTTTTATTTAATATTCTGATTGCAATTTTTAATTTTTAAAACCCCATGTTCTTTCACCTCAAATATGGTAAAACATTAATAGCTAATTTTATAGCCTGAATTATTTTTTATGTCTCCTGCCTTTTATAGCTAGAATTTCTCTCTCATTTCTGGGAATTAGTTTAGAATGATAAATACCAGTGTGAAAATCCTGCAGTTCATCTGTGCAAGGAAGGATTGTGCCCTTCAGAAGCTTTCAGAGCAGCAGAAGATATCTGAGCAACCTTGCAGTGTTCAGCAAACAGAACTGTTATTGGATAATGGCTGCCCCCACTGTAAGGATGCCTGCAGGGATACTGTCACTGCTAATTAATGTTTGTGTCAATGCTGTCTCTGTTTAAAAAAAGAAAAATAATGGGAAACAAACAAGCAGAAAGAGTCACAAAAATCCATCAGTCAAGAAGAACATTTCAAGGTATTTCATTGTCTTTGGCTGCACAGCACATTATGGGAGCCACTTATATATTCATGCTTGTTAAAAATAGTAGAGAACTTAAGAGGGAGTGTTTTAAACTGATTGTTATTTAAAGAACACCTGACATCCAGAGATGTCTCACTGTCCATCACAACAAAATTGCTGCTATATCTGGAGGCTACTTAGAAGCCTAAGTTTTGATAAAGGAAGACAAAGACATTTCTTCATCACCAAAGTCACCTGAATTTCAAGTCCATTTCTTCCTGAAGTGTGAAGGTATTAGAGGTTTAAAAAAATATATTTGACAGAATTTTTTCAGGATTTTCAAAATAATTTATTTAATATCCTAGGGTTAGCATGGCTGTTACCCTCCAAAATAATAGCACTGGACAATTTTCTTTGTATTTATTTTATGCACCTTGCTTTTCCCTCTTAAACTGGAATGGCACTAGTGCTGTGTTACTATTGAGCCTTACAACATCTGCTTGTCATTTTGTTTCCCTTTTCCTTGAAAAAGAGCCTTCATGCCTCTCATAAATCTCCTGTCTCATTCTTGGTCTCAATTCCTTGTCCTTTCTTTCTGCAAGCTTTTATTTCTCAACAGACCTCCCCAATCCTCCTCATGCATCTCCACACTCACTCACATATCCCTGCATGAAGCAAAATAACACTCCATCCTTGAGAACTACCCAAAGCAACTTGGGCAACAACAGTTAAAGAAAGCAAATTGTTCAGTATGAATTGTACTTTGGAAAATTGAATTTCTGTGGATTTTTCTGTTGTTGAGGAAAACAGTGAGATTATATCAGCATAAATGCCTGTGAAAAAATTGAAGTCACTAGGCATAAGGCAGAGCAACATCCAAAGCCAATGAACCATAGGGGTCTCAGCAGCTATTTATAGTATCCCCTACTTAAAATTTATGTAAGGATTTTCCCTGGGGCCTTCACAGTCCTACAGTTTTCAACATCAAGCACAATAATTATAGATTCCTCTTACCCAATAACCTCTCCAGAAGGACTGGATTAGAATGCTTGCTTCTTCTTTTGATAGAAGCAGAGATAGAGGAACTGGTGGTCTAGGACTTAAAAAAAAATAAATTTAACAGACAGCCTATAAATGTAAAACACTTTCTTCCCTAACAGTATATTTTATCAAAAAGAGAAATGTTGTTCAGGAGCCTGAAAGACAAAAATTCCTATTGCTCTGAAAACAGAATGCACAAAGAATGTCTCCTTTACAAATATATTATTATTCACACTACAAGAATTCCTTCTTAAAACAAGAATGTACAAATGGCACATCAAGAACAGTAATTTTTCTTACTCTTCTACATGTGCTTCAAACTGCCCCTATTATGGTAAGGTTTGGGGTGGCAGTGGGAGGTGGGCAAGGGAAACACTCTGCCATTTGTAAAGTAGGGAAGGTTTTACTGTGTGTGTGTGCAACAATGAACAGACTTATATGTAAATGTTTATTACATTAAATATACAGAATATAAACATATCTTAGCACATTCATTTACATTATGGTGTCACTTTAAATTAAAACAGGCTGGAAAATAATGATTATCCTATCTGCATAGCATGAACCTATGTTTAGAAATGTCTAAACAAGTTCTTAAAGTGCTGAAATGTTACTTTTGATACCACGTGCACTTTCTTTTGCTGATATAAGAATGTAATACATTTCTGAACTCAACCATTTTCAGCCCAATATATGGTAGCTTGAAAGCACATATGGTGATTCTGTTGCTACCAATTTTAATGGGAACAAGCTAGTAATTAAATTCAGCCATCACTAGCAAAACCTCAAATGACTATATCAAACCTTGCTTCCCAAAAGCCATTTTCTGTGGGTGTTGATTTATTTCTCAGATATAATTTATTTCTCAGATAACAAAAAATATAAAAAAACCCCATTCATTGGAAAGGACAAAACAAAATTTATTTCTATACTGTCTTTTATGAGAAATGTAATTTGCAGCCAAAGAACTAGAATGTAATAGCACTGTAACTCATGAAAATACCAGTTCTAAAGAGAAGCCTTGGCACAGCATTGGAATGGCTGCCAAGAGCCACTCTCCCTGCATGGGGAACAGACTGAACACAGCCTTGACTTGGAAGAACACAACATGATGGATTTGGATGCAGCACCCACCTACAGACACACACAACCCAGGCAGGAATGTGATCTATAGTGTTTATATTATAAAGACACTGCAAAGCCCACCAATAACAGGACATTTATTTATGCAGTCTTACATTTTCTGGCTAAAATGCTGCAATATCTTTTGGAAATTTATTTATGGCATATTACAGGCCAAGCTAGGAGGCTTGACAGCTTACATTTTCCTTTCACTTAATTTCATTCATATTAGTCTCTGCCCTAGTAAGCTTCCTATGCTCTCTGACATCTTTCTCTTAGGGCTTGTCTTCACTGCAGGAGCATTTCAACTTGGAGCACAGCCTCAGCTCTTATCTAATGCTACACTGACTCCACTGGCTCAGCCTGTGCACTCAGCTAAATTGGTCTCATCATCATGTCACCTGGGTTTTGGCCTACATTTATTTTAATGTGAACTAAAACCTTGGTCTGTTTGGAAAAAGTCAAAATAAGGCAAAAATAAAAAGCAGTCTCTCCATTGAGCTAAACTGCCTTAGCCCTGTGAACATTAATTGGCATTTCTCCTGCTCAGGGGAAATCAGAAGTGCTGGACAAGCAAGGCTTCCTGAGATAACAGCTTCTTATAATCAGACTTAAAAATCTGAAGCTGGACTGTGCTGGTTTCCCTGATAGGCTTTCATCCTCTGTTCTATTTTAGATCTTTTTGAAAACCAAAACTTAGGGAAAATCACAGGAAGACCTACATATTTTACAGCAGTTATATCAAAGCACTGAACTTTCTCTAGGAATCAGTACATCTCCAAAGAACAACTTGAGATTTCTCCTAGCCTGCAAGGTCAACTCTAGCATTTCTTTGCTTTCATTTGCAATGAAATGATAAAAATGTCTAGCTTATAATCCAACACTAAAACTGAGAAAGCAATATAAAAAAATCAAGCAAGAACAGGATTTCCTTTTCAGTAAGACAGTCACTGGCAGATATCAATCCTTTCAATGGCACAGCTTTAAAGACCAGATGTCATGCCAGGTCCAGTTTGGTCTAAGGGAATAAATGGAGAATATACACAATTGTCTGCAGGTCAAATAAAAATAGAATGTGAGGAGAAGCAATCACCCCTCAGCAGCCAAGGAGGGGAAGAGGAGTCTGTCATTTGTGGCAGAAGACAGCTGGATGCCTGCAAGATGCAAACTGACAGTACAATGTACACTGACTGCATTCTGCTTATTTAGTCCTTGATTATGCATGATCTTAAAAACCCACATATGAATCAGTGATAACTATTTAGATATACATATATTGCTTAACTTAAGTTGCACCTGTAAAAAGCATTAAAAAAAAGATTTTCCTTAAGTATTTTATTTTACCAAATCTGCATAAAGCAGATGCTGACCAAAGTTAAATTCCAGAAGCATGTTTCTTGTATTCTCAGCAAACTTGTACAGATCTTGATTCTGTGAGATATTCACTACTCATATGACATTAGGAAAGGGGAATTTCACACCCAGAAGATACAAAACAGACTTGCATTAAATAAATGTAGGAGGCATTGAAAAAAGTTGTTAATGAAGACATGTATCTGATTTCCCCGTGGACAGAAGATGGAGTTCACAAAGAATTCTGAAAAGGGAGGAAGAGTCCTTCCATTTTCTTGTCTCCCAAACAGACAAAATTTCTTATTCCTCATAACAGAATCTAGAAACACTACAGCAACAGCTGCCTTCCTTAGGTCTATGCCTATCCAAATCCCCAAAAGTGTGCAATAACGTGCAATAATGAAAATGTATTGTTTTGATTCAAAATAAATGTCTCAAAAATCTCTTCTTATAAATATGACCTTCTAAGGTCATTTACCCAAAAAGCAGGAAAATGGTGGTTCATAAGCAATCAGACACTGAAGTACTGATTCATCTGACCTGGTATTTAAAATCAATTACTATATTGATCAAATATTACAAAGGCACCGTATGAGACTCTCAGATTTCCAGGGAAATGTTCCCATAGACACTTGACAAAAATACCCTGGAACATTTTCACAGGTCAAGCAAGTGTGAACTGAGACCTTTCTTTGTAACATTTTCAGTATTAATACAACTCTTCCATAGTCAGAAATAAATTCCTAATCATTTGTCTTCTTTTGCAACAATCTAAATGCACAAGAATAAGATTATTAGTATTTGAAAGAAAAAAAATCCTTACAATATACAAGAAAACATTTTAGTGCATTATATGGAGTACATTTTTGAAGGATTTTAAATGTGAGAATAACCAAATTTTATCTTCTTAAAAAGGAACTGCAACCAAGTAGACATCTTAAAGTGTGACTCCTGCTAGTTGCAGGAGTCTGAACTCTTTGTCCAAATAAAAGCCCCTTTATACTGTCAATAGTGAATTGAATTTAAAAATGTTATAAATACATTTGAGAATGTTGTCAAAGTGACCATAGTGATAATATGCATTCAACTGTTTAACACATACCAACTATTTATACACTTGCTTATCTATTTATAATGAAGAAAAGGCAAGACAGTGTGGAGCTAACATGAGCAAGTTGTTATGTGGGGAGGCAGAGTCTTGTAACCAACAGGAGACTGAGGCAGAACAGGTGATTTGTAACCAGAATGTCACAGGAATTAGAGGAAGCACAGCAAGAAATCTTTGTAATGAGAACATGCCAAAAAATAGCAGAGCAAGAATCTTTTCTCTTCAGTTCTGTCTGAAGATTTCAGTGGATTTCTTGCCTCAGCAGGCTCTCCTTGGGAGGACAAGCCCACTTTAGTGCTCCAGCTCAGCTCTCCCGTGCTTGCATACTTGCCACATATTTTGGAAGTCACAAAGCACTGCCTCAGCTTTCTCTCTCCCAGGACCAATATTTATGCAGTCTGTGAGAGTGTCTGTGGGCCTGGACTGAAGGAAACCAAACATGGACCTGTTCCAAAGGCCACTCATGTCAATGGGAAAATTCCCATCTATGTTTGTGTACTTTAGGTCAGACTTTGTATGCTGAAAACATGAAAAGCTCCCCTTAGTGCTCCAACAGCAGCATTAGGAAGATGTCACAAAGCACTTGTAAGTTCTCAGTTTTCTCACTGCCATTTTGACAACCTTTACATAAATTAAAGCATTTTAATGCAGCAGATATTACAGCCATAACACCTTCAACCCCATAAAGCACCACTACAAAATATAAATATTTTACACAGAAAATTTCTGCAGTCTTTCAACACACAGTTTTTCGTAAAAAATCTCTCCTTTGTTAACTTGAATTTCTGCCACATTACTTGAATGGCAATTTTTATTTGGAAACACACAGAATAACATCCACAGAGATGTATTGGTTGGATTTCCTGTTATTACAATAAAATATTATTTAAAGCTCAAATTATTAAACAAAATTAAAGAAGAACATATAAGGCAAACCAAGCACACTCCAAACATGGCTGGATTAGACACAAAGCAATGAAATGTAGCAGTGTGCAGAAAGCACAGCCTGTAGAAACTGGGCATATTATGGAAAGAAAAAAAATCAGTCACCCGTGCAAAATTACCCCTATTGGCCATCTGAGAGCTGACAATGAAGTCAACTGTAAAGGCAGCTGAGACCAGCAGACTTCACCCAATTAAAATATCTGGGGGAGAGAGAAAAAAAATAATCAATGTATATATATGTGTATACAGATATTTGGCAAAAAGCCACTACTCCAAATTTAGTCATGGTTTATGTCTTAGCTGCCCACTTCAGTAAAGCCATGATAAAGTTATTTTCTCTGTGTCTGTACACTTGTTTTGGTACACACAGATAGATTAAAACAGGAAATGTGTCCTGCTGAACTGGGTAGCAAGTAAATATCTCTAATAAAAAAAAAAAGAAAATGTAGATTAAAAAAATCTGGTGAATTATTTTTTATCTGAACTTCAAAAGTCAGCAAATGTTATTCCTAAGATAGGTGCATATACCATACACCACTCTCTCTCATTGGATGTAAGGTCCAGGGTTATGTTGAACAATGCTATCATATTATTAAATTTACACGACAGGTTTTTATATCACTGTTTTTCAGAGCAGGGGAACAGTGTTTTATTGGTTTCTTCATATTTCTTTCATTAAAATGCTAAAGAAAGCTGGGAAATGATGCTGCCATGTTACTCAGACTATCTATGCCAGAAAAGTAAAATTTCAGAGGGATCAGAGCATAATCAGAGCTCACTGACTTCCCTGGCCCTGATTCAGTACACAGAGCTTGGTTACTTGCAACTGAGCTTCAGTGCTGCTCAACCAGAAACACACTGGAAAATGCTGACAAAAGGCAACTGTGGTGCTCATTAGCATATTTATAGGATTACAAAACATTCCCAGCTCTAATTCTGTTTCTTCACTGGTTCTATCAGCCTCAAAAGGAGGAACAGACACATCAGTATGTACCCCAGCAAACGGGGGCTGGTTCTGTGCTCAAACTCCCCTTTCCTGCCCTCTGAAAGGTGCAGCTGTCCTTTGAGGCAGCAGAAATGTCTGCCCTGTGATATGGAGATCACCAGTCAGCACTGAAGCTGCTCCTTCTACTGCTTTTGAAATCTGCTTGGGGAATTGAAGGTTCCCAAGGGAAGGAATATTTTGTCAGCACTCCTGGTAACACGCAGAACTCAGTGCCTATACTAAGATGTCACAGCAATTATTACACTAAAGCTGGAAACAAATTCAAATTTTACAAGCTCCTTCACCTACAAAAACTAGTTTTGGAAGGTACAAGGTATGCATTTAAAATTCTGAAAACTGATGCAGCATTTAGGTCTCCTTATTAGGGAAAAGTAGGCTGCAAGATCTCATTTAGAAATGCATTGCACAGAAAATGAAGCTCATAAGACTGTGGCTTTGACTATTCTTAAAAAAAAATAAAATTGAGCTTCAAAGAAGAAACTGGAGGCACTGGAGGAGAGCCAAAAAAGTCATACTCAAATATGGAATATATTAAAAAAAGCTGGATCCCAGATAGAACAAAAACAATAGTCCTCTGGGGGTTTTTTTGTTTTGGTGTTTTTTTGAAGCTTTAAGACTGCTTGGCACTGATAAACGCATCTAAACAGTTGGGATGAGGATGCTTCCCATCAAAATTTCACCAGCACTTTTTATTATATTGTCTCTTATATATTCTTAATCCTATTAAAAAAATTTAAACTCCTTTAAAAATAGAAATGGAAATGACAATAAAAAGAATAGAATCAATTACATTTTAAGTGTGATAGCTGGAAGGATATAATAATAAACTATTTATGACATATCCAGGACATAATAATAAGTTCTCTTTTTTTATTCTTATTTAATATTGCAGCCTTTCACTTTGCTCCAATAATATTTACTTAAGAAGCAGCATTTTTTAACTCTGTCATTTTAGGATAAGATCACTAAAAGTAGTCATTTAATAATAATTTTAATAATTATTATTTAAAAGGCCTAATTGTTTAGAGGATTTAAGATGAAGTGCATCAACTTAAGTGGGAGTCTGACACTCCAGTGTCCTTGTGGAGCTGTCACTCTGTTATTTAGGAGCACCACCACTAACAGAAGCTGTGAGTCATCCAGGCTGTGATTCCACAGTGTATTTCTCTGTTGGCAAAGCTGACTTAAGCAGTTCCTGCCACCACCTCTCTATCTTAGCAGCTCATTTGTTCTATTCACCTTGCCCTGAGCCCTTCATTTTAATTCCTTGTTTGTGCCAATACACAGGTTTGCCACTCCCCAAGGTGAAGCAGACTGGAGAAATTACCTGTTTTCAATAGCTGTACAAACCCTCCCGGCACATTTAGGCAGAGAGATTCCTACCTCAGGGTAGGGCCCTGATCAGAATAATCAAGCACCCTACCAAACAGACAAGGTGGTATCAGGGTGCCTACAAGCAGGATGGGGTGAGAACAGGAGAGAGCAGGGAATCTTTTGTTAAGCTTTACCTCCAAGAGAAATGTCTGAGAACTGTGATCTTAAAGATTTCCCATCCCATGGTACAAACATCCATCCTCACAAACCTGCAACACCAAAACAGCTGTACAGGCCAAGGGCTCTCCTGTGTGCCTAAGAAAGGGGTACAACAACCAGGCTGCAGCTCCTGCTCACTTTACAAAGCACCAAACCACAGCCTCAAATGGGCATCTTGTTGGCAAGGACTGTGTTTGACAGAATGAGGCACATGTGTCCCTGCAGAGGCAGGTTTGAACAGCAAGTTGATGGCTGAAGGCACCAGAGCTGAGATGAAAAGGGTCATTTTCCAAAGGGGTCTTGTACTTAGAAATGTCCTACACAGCTCTGACCACCTCTCAGGGAATCAGAATTCACCCTTTTGACACAATTGCCAGCTTATCCACAAAGACCTGTAATAAGGAGCTTTCCTCTTGCTCCATTGATGTCTCAAGGTTCCAAGTGTCACACATCAAGAGTTCAAAAAAGCTCTTTCCACTTACATCATGTAACAAAGTAAATGTATCTACAAAGATATTAATCTCTATATTTTCACCAATTACCAACCCAGATTCCAGTTAAGTTTTCAAGTTGAATTTTTTCTTTAAAATCTGACCCCTGTTAGTTTCTTATTTCCTCACTGTGGACTGATCCTTTGCTTTTCTCACACAGCAGCTGTATTTAAAGTAAATGCAGTCTCAAGGACTTTAGCATTTCTTTCAAAACTATTGTGCTGTTTGGTTCTAAGAAAATAACAAGGAATATATGATTGAGGCTGCCAAAAACAAGTGCTCATTTCTCCAAGTCATGAATGTCTGCAGAAATGCATCCGGATGCCAAGGACTGTTACAGGTATTTCGAAAGCAGCTGCTTGCAGTTAGAGAAGAATTTCTTGACTACACTCTCAAAGATTTCCATAGGAGAAAGCAGCACTGAAAAAACTGCTTTACTCCTTAGTACAAAGATGTTCATAACACTACCAGACTATTCAAATGTCCTTCATTCTACAATTAAAATATTTAGGAATTCGAAATTAATTTATCTGTGAACAATTCTGGTACAAAATACCTCGTGAGTTAAACACAGGCCAGTTAGAAACTATCACACAGTTCGTTGTTGCACACAGTAAAGGGCATTTTTGAGGGGCACAACTGCAACATATTGAGGCTCTATTACTTCCTTAGGATAGCAAAAGAATAAAAGGAAAAAAAATATTCTGAGTACTGCAATAACTTACTGGTCCTTTAGCCAGTCCTTAACAAAAGGAATGGAAAACAATTCTGTGAATGACTCATCTTTCCTCTTTGGATTATTGCTAAAGAAAAAGGAAAACAACTCATATTAATTTAAATTTCAGCTATTCAATTTGCAAATTAGTGCCTTGGAATCATTGAACATACTTAGTAGCAAGAAACATGAATAACTTACTTGTATAACCACTCAGTTAGGAAATCAGTGGGAATAAATTTGGTTCTTTTTTCCTAAAGACAGAAGACAGTTTCAAATTATTTAGTATATTTTTGGATTGGTCATATGTTTAAGATAAATTGACTGCTTTTATTAAATAAAATATAGAGTGCATTACTCTGTCTACTCTTTATTGCTACTGCCAACAGTCAGTGGCTCAGCCAAAATTTTAGAAATTTTGTGGAATGATTTCAAGACAAACTATGAGTGAGAAAATTCTACATATATTATCTTGATATTTACTGCAGTATATCTAGAACAAAGTTTTCTGAATGGTGCTCTAAGTGGCAATGTCATTGTGAAGAAATTAACAGAACTCATTCAAACATGAAAATATGTTGTAAATTCCTTGCCATTGTGTTTAAAGTTCTATTATCATACTCAAAATACTTCATTTCTTCCACAACACAGAGGGAACATTGACTGGATATTGGCTCCTCCTGCATGGAACCAGCCTGAAGATGTTGTGAATACACACAGCAGAGTATTGTGTGGCTGCTCTGACCAAATCATCTGCTGGGTGGTCCAGGAAGGAAGGCAAAACCAAAGGAAGGCTTTTGTCTGTCCACAGCCACAGAAACCATGGGCATTACAGAGAACCAGGTAAAAATTCAAAACCTGGAGCTTCACAGCAAAACTTTTGTGCCCTTTGCTCCCAGTTCTCAACCAACAAAGAGAATTTTACATGTTTTGCAGCAGGTTGTCCTTGGCGACTCGTGCAGCCAGTACCACAGCCAGCCATTCAGAGCCTGAATTTTGATAAAACCAGAATGGATCAGGAAATCCTTTGTTTTTAAGCATTTCCTCTGACATTCCATCCTGACAGATTGAATGGATAAATTATACAGGTGCTCATTCTGCTTATCACAAACCACAGTAACCATAATGTGGAGAATAGAGCATGGAGTTCTGTGGAATAACAGAAGATCTTGATCAGTACCTTCAGAACCTCTCTGACATGAGATGTGCTCTGGAGGCACAAAGTCACAGTGAACCCTAAAAGACACTGAGCCCTGCAGCCCCAGGACACCAAGTGCTTCATCACAATAGCAGCCATTCCAAAAAGCAAGCTGAGCTCCCATCCCAACACTTGCCCTGTCAAACAGGAAATTCTGCTCTGATAATTGTTTCTCAGGAAAAAAAAATCACACTGGTCCAAAGCTTTTGTGAAACTGCTTAATGTCACAAAAGAGGCTGAAGTCTTGATTAAAATGTAAGAGGTTAAGATACTACCATTTGCTAAGGAAAATACAATAAACATAAAAATTGAAAAATTACTTCATTCTATGCATTATCCTCAGATGTGAACAGAGAGGCAGAAAAAATGTTCTACATAGTGTAATTCTTCCAGTTCATGATATATGTGATTATCTGGGGGTCAGGCACAGGTGAAGTGGAAGAGGAACATGGTGTGAGGTGCTGAGTGCCAGGGGAGAGCACAGGGCAGTCACACAGCTGGGGAGGACAAGTGTGAAGTTTAGTGCTGGGCTGCAGGGCAGTCCTACAGGACACCCAGGAAAGCTTTTCATTTTCTAAGACAATCTTACCCTTGGCAGAAATACAGTCTGACTCCAACAGAAGAAAAAAAAAAAGAAAAAAAGGAAAAAAAAATAGAGAGCTTGAAAAAAAAAAAAAGAAAGCAGAAGAACAGAAGATGAAATCATCATAAACCAATTATTAATCCTGAGCCATACATGCCTTTATTATCTGTTTTGTGACAATCAGAGCTTTAGGGTTCAGGTAGGGCTCCATTAAGTGCTTGGCTGGGAAGAAACAGCTCCTCATGCAGTTTTCACACTTAGGCTGATACCAAATGCTGTTCCAAGAAGCCCAACACCTAAACTTTAAGAGACCAAAACCTTCACTGCAGAGCTTTCTATGAGTCACTTCAAATGTTAAATGGACAAATCCTGACTTACACAGAATTTGTAAGCAAACAGCAGAGTCTGATTGTGACTGTACAGCTATTCCCAATCACAGGATGAAAATGGGTCCCCTTACTTAGGGAATTGTTTCAGAGAATAAATTCTACACTTTGACAACAAAATTCGATTTAATCTAGCAGTTGTAATTTAATCTGTTTTAAGTAAATTGCTTTTCCTTTGCAATGGGAAAAAATGATCAGAACAGGGTTCTCAAAACAGCCAAAGGAATCAAATTCATCTTGTTTTATCCTTCTTAGCAGAGAGGAATTCAATCAAGCTGAATATTTTTTATTTTATTTTCTTTTCCAGGAAACAGTTTATTTTGCTAGTGAATTAAATCATTAGTTGCACAGCAGTCAACATTTATAAAGGGAAAAAATTACATAAATTGACCTGCCTTTGACACATTCCCCCTATGCTGCATGAATCAGGATAAAAAACAGGAAATATCTGTACAATGTGCATTGTTAACCTGCAGTTGTGTTTATAAACTGTTTATATTCAGAATTCATTTTCCATTTTTCAGTTTAAATATGATGTGCTTGGTAATAATCATGAAAATATACTGGTGATCAGAAGATGGCAAAGTCATTAGGAAACCTTCTTCCATTCCCTTTCCCTGATCTATCATAATTTTAAATATATTCCATTACAGAGCCTGATACAGCCTCCTCCTTCTGTGATAGCTAACTAGAAAGAAAAGTCAGAGTTATTCTAATAAAAACATTTATACATTGTTCAGTTTAATGCTGAAAAATGAATGCATTAGTTGGTTCTTATGAAAGGAAAGATTTAAGAAAATAGTCTTTCCCCTGTAGGCATTTGACAGCAGATGGGGTAAAACACAGGAGAACTTATGGTAGGAAAAAAAAAATCAGTGAGGGAATACACTGGGCAACCTAATAGGTTTCTTTCATCTCTAATTTAAAAATGAAGCTTCTGCAGACTGCTCTCATATTTATGTCAATTTGAAGACTGCACACATATCTAGCAGCTGGTTTTTCTAGGCTTTAGCTTTTCAGATTTTTTGTATGCATCACATAATGCAAGAGAGCCTATTTTAAATTAAATGTATAAATTGTTGTTTCTTTATCACCTTTCAGAAAAGATCTTTCCTACACAAATCCCTGCCTCTAGCATAACCATTTCCCTTTCCTGACTTCCCCATGTGATTGTACAATTCTTCCCCTCCAGACATGGATGCACCTTCTCTGGTCTCTCCCTTGAACTCCCCTGTTGGCCCCAGAATCTGATTTCCTTAACACAATTTCAATTGCTCAAAAGCTTTCCTATTTAACTTTTCCTGCTCTTCTCATTCATCTTAATTTCCTTTCAAAACATGAAAACCTTTAGTCCCTCTCATCAAAATCCCACTCTTCATTGTCTCTCACCATTCCCTCTCTCTTCTGGGCTCATTCCTCCCTTCCTTCCAGTGCTTCTTCCATTTATCTTCCACTGGTTTATTCTGTACCACTGCCCTTTACAGGCCTTAGTGACTCATGTCTAGCCAGAGTTCAAACCCAGTATTCTCCTCTCATCCTTCATGATTTCACTTAGCTTCATCACAATTAATCTTCTTCATGTCCTGTTGTCTCATGAATTCCATGAATGTTTTCAATCTTTGTTGTCCTCTCTTTTTTGGAAGCTGTATTCCAATGTGTTTATCACAAGAACCTTTCTCCCTGTTCCTACTTTGGGTTTGTAAGGACTCTGCTTTTGATCCTAAAATTCAGTTCAAGTTATTTCATTAGCCATTTTAACCCAAATTATAGCAATTGGGGTTTTTTCCCTCCAAATCCATACAGAACAACACATTTCTTACCAAACTAAAGGATAACTAAAAATCACATATTTATGCCAGATAAGGAAACAGAATGTGCAAGTTCAAGCACCTGGACAACAACGGAAAAGAACATAAATATTCAATTATATGGCAAGCATGCAGAGCTATTGTTTTCCTAGTTATTGTTCAAAAGGAGGAAGAAATGAGGTCACAGTGGAAAACTATCACCTGACCCCAGCTTGCTTTCCTGAGCAGGGCATCTCTTCACATAAGTGGGTTTTCCATAATGACCAAATTCATGTAGAATGTAATCTGTTCTGAATTACTGGAGAAAATAACATTCAAAACCAGATCAAAAAAAAAAACCCCTGATATGTTATATCCTATTATTATGGATGGTTTTCGTGCAAAAGAGCAAATTTAAAAAATACTGCTTGTGAAATAAAAGGCTGTAACTTCCTGCCAGTGATTTGAAATGAAAACAACAAACTAACCTCCAAACACTTCTCCTTCTCTACTTCATGCAGAAGTGCAGCCAGTCCTGGCAGGAGCACTGGGAAGATGTAAAACTCCAAGAATTCTCGAGGAGAACCTGAGCAAAACAGGAGAGCCTTCACTCACAGCTAAGCACTTGGATCTCACAAAAACAGCACCATTAGATATCCTAAAGTCAGTTCCAGTCATTTTGTCAATACCATCACAGCTTGGACAAAGCAGATTCATTCCCTTCACAGACAGCCACTGGTCTGTCCTCACTTCTCAACAAACACAACACAAACTTGGGTAAATTTCAAACTAAATGTGCACCAAACTCAGTGTGCCTCAGAGATGTCAGATTCAGTTTTAAGCGAAGAAATTCAGACACCAGAAGCAGTTTAGTCACAGAAGTGAAAAGCTCTGTGAATTAATTTACCCTGACAGGAAGAAATTAGCCTGTGCTGAACTCAGTGCTGCTGCAGTTAGACCACTTTGGTATCTCATGCCCTTTACAATCTGCATTAGCAGAGTTAGTCATAAAACTGAATTTCTAGACAGAGGAAAAACCAAAGGTTATATTTTAGTGGTGCTGTGATTTCTTTGTCATAATTGCTTCATACTCACCAGATCCTTCAAAGGTTTTAACATGAGTCCATGTACCCAACCTTTCCCCTTTCAGAGAGCTGCCTGGGCTGGAACCTCTCCCCATTCAGGCAATATTCAGGTTTTGGTGTGATCAGCAAAGATTAAATCATACAAATGTTCTCTTCTGGCAACACAGCTGAAACACTGTATTTATTCTCAGCTTTATACCTTTAATTAGTTAATATACTGCCAGAAAATGCTCATAATTGGGAGGACTATATTTCTATATTTATATAGAAGGCAAGGGTAACACTGCTTCTGACTTGCACCAGGAATTCCTAATGAGCAAGAATTAATGGAAGAGAAGACAAAATGAAGGGCTAAAATGCATAATAAAAACACACAGCTGCTTGGGAAATTTATTATAAAGTATAGGGATTGATAAAAGTGGAAGAACAAAACTTCAGAGCTGCTTCCATTCTTGTCTGTAATCAGATGGGAAAAGACAGAATTTTGACAGCAGTTCTCAAATTCAATTGTCTACTTAGTCTATTGATCCTAGCTTTGCATTATTAAATCAGAGGAAGAAATGCCTGCCATTTCTGATTTAAGTGCCTAAATAAAAAGTCACTTATTCAGAAGAGCACAGAACTGCCTTAGTAATGCATAATTTGATATTTCTTCCATTGACCAAGTGGCCAAGCTGGCTCTCTGATTTCAGACCAGAGGCCAAACCATGCAAATTCCACACAACAAAGGTGTTGGTGCTCTTAACACTCTAAATTAAATAAATTCCAAATCCTTGCCATATACAAGAGAAATAATCACAGCAGGGTTCAAGATAATGTACTCTTACTTACATTTTTTTGGATCAGGGGGGTCTCCAGGGGGAGTTTCCCCAAGTACAGGTGGCAGATATTGGGGTGTAGGGGCAGAAAAAAGTTGTTCCACAGGAATTTCCGCTTCCAAAGGCACCTGCTCAAAAGAAATGTATCCTGTCTAAATACCCCAATAGACTAGACAAAAAAAAAAATACAAACCAATTAAACAGAAAAAAAATTACAAGGTCAGTTAAAAATATGGAATCATAATTTCTAATTCAAATATTGTATTATTTATGCACTTTCTGTATACTTGAAAATATATTATTACACTTTTAAAACTTCTGCAGTTTCCAACACACTAAAATCATCCAAACCTAACAGAGGCACATGACTCCCTTTTACAGAATATGGTGAGATATCCCAATTTAAAAAATATTTTATCCATTGTAAGAAATAATAATTATTTATAAATTAATACTGGTAGCATTTTCTGAATAAGTATTTTCCACTCATAAGCTTAAATATCTATTTCACATTGTTCAGAAGTCCTGACATTCACCTTTTAAAGAAAATACACTTTTCTTGTTAGCATTACCCAAGTTGCTTCAAATACAAGCAATTATTTGGAATATTACATTTGTTGGTTCAAATAAACTGTTTGAAAAATAATAATTTTGTTTTCATTTTATGAATGAGTCTACCCTATGGGTACCTAATTTTCACATTTCATTGTTTAAAATATTTTCAATCCATCTCTATGCAGATTTTTTACTTGAACTGTACTCACTGATTCTTCTTTTGATTCAGGATCTTGTTTTAATTGAGGATCATCTGAAAATTGAGGCTGTTCCTCTTCATGCTCTAAAAGTTTAAAAAAAATACAATCTTTACCAGGATACCCTAAAAATGTATTTATTTTCCTCCTAAAGCAGCATTATTTTAAAAGGTAAACAATTGTTTAACATGAAATCTAATGTTTTAAAACAAACAAGAACTTTAGATATTCTTGTCATGTCCTCTTGAGGTTTAAGTCAAGCGCAAGGTTCTCACTCACAAAAGAACCATTTATTGGGAAAAAGGTACCAAAATAATAATTCAAAATATTTCAACATAGGTAGAATGCACTGAATTAACCATTGTTTTTACTAGTAAACAATACTTTTCTAGTCAACAATCTGCTTTTCATAGTGGACTCCTCTATGAGCAATTAAATCCCACAGACATTGTAAAGTATTACTGTCTGCAAAATAAAATAAAATTTAAAAATAAAATAAAATAATTCTGATGAATGAAAAGCTGCACATGACCCTCAAGGACACTGAGTGACTCAGGCTGAGAAAAATCAAGGACCAAGAGAAGGAGCTTGATCTGAGAACACCCACAGGTGCCACAGCGAGAGCACGGCCCAGCAGGTTCAGCTCCACCATCACAGCGGGGTTTAATGGCACCACCAAACCCATGGGTGCTGCAGGTGTTGGCTTAGAATAATCAGCCTCACTCCTACCCAAAAATGGCCACTTTAGTGCAAAAATGCCTACTTTGGGCATCCTGAAGTACTTTGGGAAGATAACTGCATTGGGGAACCGCAGAATGCAGCGCTGCTCCCCCAGCTTTCCAATCTCAAGTGTTCCCAGACTTTGGGAGAAGCCCACGGGCTTTGCTTTGGGATGGTGCTCTGAAAACAGATATTCTGTATTAATTTAACGTTTTACCAGCCCTGAGACATTCGCCTCTCTGCTTTCCGGAGGCAATACCCAACTCCTGTGGGTACAGGATCACCCACACGGCACAAGGGCAGGGCAGAGGCCCTGCCACCGGCTGAGAGGCCCTGCCACGAGCTCGCAGCAGCCGGGCTGCAGCACAAACACACCCAAAGGGTGTCTGTGGGGAAGTTATGGCAATAAAAACAACATAAGGTCCACGAACAGAACCGCTCGCGGCCCTGGTGCCGGTGTGGATCAGGGAGGCTGTGGGCGCTTTGTAGGGCGGGCACAGCCCCGCGCCCGGCGAGACGAGCGGGCGGCCCCAGGCCGGGGCAGGCCGGACACGGGCAGGGCAGGTCCGGGGGGCTCGGAGCCCTGCCCGCGGGGCTCGGAGCGGAGCCGGGGCCGGAGCTCCCACCTGCGCCGTGCCCGCCCTCCGCCATGGCCGCGTCCCGATCGTCACCGCGGCAACGGCTCCGGCAGCGCCCGCGCGGGGCGGGGCGGGGCGGGCACGGCGCGATCGCTTCCGGAGCGGCGGCAGGCGGTGCACGTGGCGCGGGAGGTGAGCGCCGCACGGCCCGGTACGGCACGGCACGGCACGGCAGGGACCGGCACGGCATTAGGACGGGCACGGCATGGCCCGGCATGGCATGGCCCGGCACAGGGACTGGCCCCTCACGGCACGGCTCAGCCCCGCCGCCGCAGCATCCCGTGCGGGCCGTGCCGTGCCGAGCCGGACCGTGCCGGGCCCGGGGCGGGACTCGGGCTGACACCCCCTCCCCTCCCCTCCCCGGGGTGGGCGCGGTGGGCCCGCACACAGAGCGAGAGGGGCTCTGCTGGCCTCGGGGCTCTGTCCACGGTTTGACAGCGTGCCTCATGGTGTTACTGCAAACCAGCAGGAATAATTGAGTTTCGCACTGAGTGGGTGCTAAAGGGTGCTCTGTTGTAATCAATTCGTTGGCATAAATGTCCTGAGAAAACCGGAGAGCGAGGATAGGAAATCACAGACAAAAGGAAATTTACGGTAATAATTCAGGTGCCTTGGAAGGGCCTTGTAATGTTGAGTGGGCAGTAAAGCCGTGTGAAGTTCAGTGTTAAGTGAAAAGTCACGGGTATCTGGAAAACTAAATGTATTTGTGTATATACACACTAATTGTATTTGTGTATATACACACGGATACATTTTGCTGTTTAGAAAGGACATTTGGGGCATAGGTACTGAGACAACGTTATACTCTGCTGCTGTGAAACAAATACAGCCTTACAAACTAAGGCAAGGTACACTAAACAACATCATAAAAGAATCGCCCCATAAACAGTGTTTTCTGTATGTCAGTATGTTCTAGTTCCCCGTCATGGAAAGCAGACTGAAATTAGAGTGTCAGGGACAATGGGGGATCAGGAATGGTTTCAGAATAAAGGATGACCAAGTAGATTAGGACTTGCATTGTCTCTTTGAAGCAGTTCACTAACATTTTCATATCCTTTTTTAGTTCGTTAACATCTTCATATTCTTTTTTTAGAATGATAATAAAGAAAAAGAGAAAAGACGTTCATGAGGAGCCTGTGCAGAAGAAGAAAAAGGTGAAGACTGTCATTGAAATTGAGGAAGATGTTAAAACTGTCATTAAAACTCAGGACAGTGGGCGTCTCAAGAAAAAGAAGAAGAGCAGGAAAAAGGAAAATTTAAAAGATGAGTGCTTACACAAATTGCAACCAAAGAATCGTAAGAAAAATAAGAAGAAGAAAGCTGGCTCTGAATTACTCAGGGAAGATCATTTAGAAGGCTTTGTGAATAGAAGAGGTCATCTGGATTTACAACTTCAAGAGGAATCAGAGGAACAAATTAAAATATTCAAAAAGAAGAAAAAAAAAGTCCATTGTCATTTCTCCTTGGAGGATAATGAGAGTAGTGACGTGGAGCTTTCAAACCATTGCACAGATGGTACTAAGAAAAATAAATTATCATTTAAAAAAAAGAGGAAGAATACTGCTTTGGATTTGGAATTGGATGGTGAGGTAACAAAGAAAAAAAAGAAGAAATACAGTTTTTCATTAGAGGACATCCAGGACAGTGAACAAAGGCAATCTACAAAAGTCTGTAAAAACACCCACAAATACACTTCACAAAAAACAGGTTTTATGGGTGAGGACTATGACACAGGCAATGGTGGGGAAAGTTGTGTAAGAAAGAAGAAAAATAAAAAGAAAGATAAGTCTGACTGCTTTTTACCACTGGCAGCTAATGAGGACAGCATGCATCGAGTTCCTGGTAGCCCCAGTGCATTAAGTGACTCTAGAAAAAGGAAGAAACATAACTCCTGGGAATTTACATGGACAAGCAGAGAGGAAGAGGGCAAAATTAAGAACTTTGGGTGTATCAAAGAGAGGAAGAAGAAGAAAAAAAAAGCTGTTTCTTCCTCAACCTGTGAAGATAAGCAAGACTGCAGTCACAGCATTCCTGATAAGCATCTCCCAGCACAGCAAGAAGTTGAGCTTGAGGAAGAAGAGCTGTCTGGAAGGAAACACAGGAAGAATTTCACATATAATAATGAAGTCAGTAAGAAGAAAAAGAAGAAGATTAAGAAAAAGGAAAAGGAAACAACATACTCAGAAGTTTCTTCAAACAATGACAGTGCTTCTAAAAGCCAAAAAGCACTACTAGAAAACAATAAGAACAAAGAGAGTGAAATGGAGCAAGCTGAGTGTGTCACAGGGGACACTGTGGATGGGGCATTATGCAATAGCAATCCTGTGCTTCTGTATGACAGAAAAAGGAAAGGAAGGAAAAAAGTACCACCACAGCAGTCAGCTGAGGAGCCAGGTTCAAAAGCAGGTGTGGAAAAGATCAAGACAGAACGCCCATGGAATGAGTCAGTGGTGAGTTGGGGAGAGGAGGGCAGCTTTGCACCCTCCTGCAGAGGAACTGAAAGCCTTTGGGGCAGTTCCCTGCTCTGCTCTTGGTGACACTGAGGTCACTGAGGGTCCCCCTGGGTGGGGGGAGGCAGGACCAGCTGGTCTGTGGCAGCATGGCACAGCTCACAGGGTGGCACATTCAGCATGGCACAGCTCACAGGGTGTCACATTCAGCATGGCACAGCTCACAGGATGGCACATTCAGCATGGCACAGCTCACAGGATGGCACATTCAGCATGGCACAGCTCACAGCGTGGCACATTCAGCATGGCACAGCTCACAGCGTGGCACATTCTGCCTGGCACAGCTCACAGGATGGCACATTCAGCATGGCACAGCTCACAGCGTGGCACATTCTGCCTGGCACAGCTCACAGCGTGGCACATTCAGCATGGCACAGCTCACAGCGTGGCACATTCTGCCTGGCACAGCTCACAGGGTGTCACATTCAGCATGGCACAGCACACAGGATGGCACATTCAGCATGGCACAGCTCACAGGGTGGCACATTCAGCATGGCACAGCTCACAGGGTGGCACATTGAGCATGGCACAGCACACAGGATGGCACATTCAGCATGGCACAGCTCACAGGGTGTCACATTCAGCATGGCACAGCTCACAGGATGGCACATTCTGCCTGGCACAGCTCACAGGGTGGCACATTCAGCATGGCACAGCACACAGGATGGCACATTCAGCATGGCACAGCTCACAGGGTGGCACATTCAGCATGGCACAGCACACAGGATGGCACATTCAGCATGGCACAGCTCACAGCGTGGCACATTCTGCCTGGCACAGCTCACAGGGTGGCACATTCAGCATGGCACAGCTCACAGCGTGGCACATTCAGCATGGCAGAGGCCACAGAGTGTCCCTTTCAGCATGGCACAGCACACAGGATGGCACATTCAGCATGGCACAGCTCACAGGGTGTCACATTGAGCATGGCACAGCTCACAGGATGGCACATTCAGCATGGCACAGCTCACAGCGTGGCACATTCAGCATGGCACAGCTCTCAGGACATCCTGAGCTGAGAGGGACCCACAGGGATCAGCCAGCCCAGCTCTTAAAGAAGGGCCCATAGAGGGGTCCAGCCCCAGCTGAGCTGATCCTGTGACACCTGGGGAAGCACTGATGCCTGCTGCTGTCATCACACAGTGTCTCAGTTGTAAAAATGTAAATATTACAGCTAGCAGCAAGCATTGACCCAAAATAGAGTGGGTTTGTGCAGTCATAAATGCTCAGTTGCTCTTAGCAAAGTGGCAGTACTTCATAAAATAAGAGTTTAATGCCATGTCATTTACCCTGAGCAGGTGTAACCCTGGCAGCAGGAGTTCATCTAATTGTTTGTTAGACTTTCCTCAGGCTTTGCTGCTGTCACTGCTGGAGTTATGTAATGTTAGGAGCAAAAGGGAAAGTTAGTCAGAACCTATTGACTAATTCCATCAAAACTTCAATGAGAATCCTAGGAATCCTAAGTGTAGACTGAGCCAAGAGCATTGAAATATAAATTCTGATAGAAAGATACTAAAGACCTAAACAGGCAGTTTTAATTAAAACAATAAATCTCTGCAAGAAAAAGATGTAAGAACTGTGTGAATTGCAACTGAGGGTAACTGGGATTGTATCCTGACTGACTGGTCAGGAAATCCCATCCCAGAGTCCTGAAGTACTTGCCATTTCTGAGGTAAAATGATCATGATGAAATATTTGAAATGCAGGCATTTTTTCTTTATCTGATCAAAGTTATATTTTAAAGCTAAGGGTGCCAAAAGTTAGTACCTACATGCCCAACTTCTGTTGTTATCATTGGGAATTAAGCTGTGAGATGCTCAGAAAATCAATAGGTATCTATCTATCTGTATTTGTAGTTGCTTAAACTTGACTTTGAAAGTGGCACATTGCAAGTTCCTGGGAGGTTGTTTTTATTCCTGTAGGTAATGGAAACCTGCACTCCAGTTGCTTTCTATCAAGAATTTTGAATGCTTGGTTTATTTAAATGTCAAGCACTAGTTAAGAAGGTATCATTGTAGATTTTTTGCAAGGTATTTTTGAAGGTATTTTTTGAAGATTTTTGGAGGTATTTTTGAAGATTTTTTTTTAAGGGTATAGCAGACCATAGTGTGAGCTGCTTCTCAAGCTCCCTGCATGGTGTGCTGTGCTTTGTCATGCACTCAGATGCAGTTTCCTCAAGTTCTGTGGAAACCTGGCAGCTGCCTGGTGTCTAGTGCTAATAATTAAATTTAGATTCATGTGGAGACCCAGATACAGCTTTTTTCACAGGGGTTTGTGAGGGGAGTGTGTGTGCTTATCAGTCATGAGGTGAGCAGATGTTTGGGGCTTTCAAGTTGGATTTCTCCTTTTGACCTTTCAAAAGGACAGGGTGGTTTTATTGCTGGATATATTTTCTAATTAAATTGGCATTGCCTTTTTGAGATTGTTGGACATTATTTGGATTTTGCAGCTGCTTACATTGTGTAAGGGCAAGATAAGCCCTACAATGACATGCAAACTTGCATGACCAGTTAATATGAAAACCACAGCAAATACCTTGCAAACTGTGGAGAAGGGAGTAGTGTGATGCATGTTTTGTTCCTCTTCCCCAGCTCCCTTAATAATAAGAAACTACTCAAAAGAAAATCTGAAGGTTGAGAGGTCTGGGTTAATCAGCTCTAGCAAGTTCTAGTTCCTGCCAGGCCAAAATACACTGCACTAATAATAATAATGTGGCTGATGGTGTGGTCTTGCATTTAAATGTGCCACAGTCCTGAAATGTTTTAATCTACAGCACGTCACACAAGGCTCTGCATGCCTTAAAAATCCTCTGTTGGGCTTGCCCTGCAAGTCAAAGAGGAGGTTTTAAGGACAATGTGAGTGATACCCAGTTAATATCAGTGCTTGGTGTTTTCCTGGTGGATGCCATTGCAGTCAGCTGGGGCAGTGAGGAGGATGAGCACTCAGTTCCCTGCTTTGATGTTGTTTGCCAGCAGACAGCAGAACCCCACCACATGTGAGTGTGCTCTTTTTCCATGAGTTGGAGGCAGCTTGGCACCTCTCCATGGGGTAGTTTTTTCCACTCAGCAGGTCAGCACCGTGCTGGGAATGAGCAGGGATGGGGGTGTCCCTCCTTGCAGCTAAAAAGAACAAAATCTGCTGCAGTTGTTTGCAGAGTCCTGTCAGGACAGTTTACCTGCTTGTGTTAATAGATCTGAAAAGACAGTACCAGGCCATCTAGAAGGAAATTGGGGGTTGGTTTTGGTTCCTTCTTTTCTTCCAAGAGCACGAGCTCTCCTTCCTGCAGACAGTGTTCTCCCATTTTTAATAGTGCATGTACTTGTGTGTGTGTATAAAAGGTAGCTTTGGAAAATGAGGTAAATCATTGATAGCTTTTAATAGAACTAAAGCCTCAAAAAAGTAACAGCAGGTTTTGCTGACAGAAGTATGTTACAGATCTTTTCCTTGTCGTTTCCTTGGCTGTTTCATGCTTGGTTTATTATGTTAGCTGTATCAATAGATCTTCCCTTTGGCCACTTTTTCCAGGCTGGTCTAAAGCTTATGGCTCTCATTTACCACTATCCTGGACTTCTTACTCACCCTGTTGTACTGGATACCCCAAAAGCTTCTCCTGATTACAAATTTGGGAGAGAAAGGCTGGGGACAGTGGTTTAGGGGTGCCACTCACTGGGAGCAGAAGCTGCAGAGGGGCTGCACTTTGTGGAGCTGTGATCAGGATCTGGTTGTGTGTGGCTCTGCCCAGATTTACCTCCTCCCATCCATTCCTTCTGGAGCTGCTGTGTCTCTTCCATCAGCTCCCGGTTCCTTGCTCTCAGCTGTGGCATCAGGAGCTGCTGGCTGCCATGGCAGGGGACACTTCCTGTGTGAGCTGCCTCTGTGCTCCTGGGGACCTTCATCCACAAGGGAGCACAGTGCAGCTGCTCTTGATTGGCTTTGTGCATTTGTGTCAGAGAGACCTTTAGTTATTTTACCTCCAATTTCTATTTTTGTTTAACTTTCACTGTCTCCGTGCCCTTCTTGAAATATAAATTTAAGCTTTTACAAAATGGTTTAATTTGAAATTACTCTGCCTGCAAACATTACTGTGTGTGCCAGTGTTGTTGGCAGGTCCCTATTCATGTGTAAATCCAAAAATCATTTATCTTGATTAAAAGAAAAAAATCTCTGTGAGATATTTTCATAGGAATACACAGATTTAATTGGCATTTTCATCTTAGAGCTGACTATTTCTTCTTGCCCCTGAACAGTACTACTGATTGCTCACTTTTTTAACTACTTTTGTGGTAAGGGCTGTGTAAATTCTAATTAATCAGAATGGATAAAAATAATCATACAAGCTTTTTCCTGTTTTACAGGAACATCTAGATGGTGTAATTATTGTGAAGGAAAAGAAAGGAAACTGTGATGAAATTAACATAGACAAGGTATGTTTGTGCTTTGTTCTAACTGGGTAAGATCTAAAGCAAATCAGCATTTAACATATGCATAGGAATTGATACAAAAAACTGCTTTGTTGCTTATCTATGCCTGGATTTCCCTAAATAAAGCTCTACTTAAAATGTGCTTTACATGTGGGTTAAGTCCAAAATGTACAGTCAATGTCAGAACTAATTCACTTTACTAAGTTAAAGACACATTTCTTTGCCTCTCATCAATGCAGGCAGTAAGAAAATTAGACTTACTTGATGCAGAAAAGCACTCATTTAACAGACACTAAAAAATTACAGTTCTCATGTTGAGTGTGTGAAAGGATCCCATGCACCTTTTAATTATCCTTGCAAAATTCTGAAGATAACTAACGATTCTGTTTTTCTCTTACTATTTCATTGTGATTTGTCATTAACACCCTGGACTCAGAGTCTTATGCTGCATGTGTCATTTTCTGCACACTAGGTGAGGCGACAGGCCCTGCAAGAAGAAATTGACAGAGAATCTGGCAAAACCAAGGCCCTCAGTTCCAAAGTGGCACAGGTGATGTATCAGTTTAGACCCCAGCCTGATGGAAATGCTGTGTTCCAGGGCAGGTTCCTCTGAGAACCACTGTGCTCTTTTTGTATATGGCTCATGTACAGCAGTGTTCCTTCTGCTGCAGAGTCCAGGTCATGCCATAGAACAGCTTGGTTCAGTGCCCAGGGTTTGAGAGCTGAGCACTGAGCTCCTTGCCACTGCACACTGCTCTAATTCCCATCATCACTCCTCAAAAACAACATTTTCTCTGGTTCCTCTGGAGAATGAGCCATCAGACATTGCTACAGAAGCATTTTCTGCTTACTGTGAAATGTATTTTTGGGCTGTGGATGCAGCAGTCACTGAAATGTTTCTGATTTCTTACCTGCAAGACTTTGCACACATTCAGCAACAGGGACACCCATGGAAAGGTAAAGGGGTGGCAGCTGTTAACACAGGTGTGTCATGTTCAGAGTCAGTCCTCTCAGGGCTTCTGCATCTTCCTCCACCTCTTTGGAAGGTGATTCCTGATTCTTTGCTTTTGCATCCACTCAGCCTGGCTCCTGACACATTCACTGTAAGGTTGTGGAAGCTTGCTGCAGTGTTTAGCCAGGGCTAAGGAGATTGAGGTGGAGAGAAAGCTTTGCTAGTATTTCAGGCTTCTTTTGTTTTGCAGGACTGCCAGAATGCCTAGAAAGCTGGAATATGCCTCAAACAAATGCCAGAAACAGCTCCTGTAGATCTGACATAGTGAGAGGGAGTCTCATTGCTCTGGAACTACAACTGTCTAATAGTCTGTGGAGTCATTGAGAAAAATGACATCCTTGGCAGGAGATCTCAGCTCTTTGGCACTGATCTGTTTCTGTTTAGTAGTATGCAGAAGAATAGAAGCTGTGAAAACCAATTCATCAGCTGCACAAAGTGAGCTGGAAATGCTTCAGCAGAAGCTGTGTGCAGTGCCTGCCAGCAGCTCACTTAAAACCAGAGTTTTGACAAGCCATAATTATATTTGCATCAGTGCAGATGTCTCCCATTGCAAAGGGAGGACTTACATTTAGTTATCTGTGTCCTGTGTGTGTCTGGATGTGTGCACGTGCATGTCACAGACTGGGCTTGTGCAGCAGCTTGCAAGGTCAAAAGGCTGAAGTATTGTGGGCAGCTTTCTTTCATACCAGGTATTCTGGCCTGTGATAGGGAATGATACTCCAGCCTTGCTTTTTTTTTACCTTAAACCCCTGCTGCAGCTTTCCTGCATGCTGTGTGTCATGTTGGCTGTCTGCTGGAGAATGGCTGTTCCATGCAAGCTGCCACTGTTCTGTTTGAAGGATTTCAGGCTGACATAAACATACCATTGAATTCACATTTTTTCCTTTGATGTAGGCAGCTCAGTCTGTTTAATTAATAATTAGACATTCTGCCATTTAGTATCATTCCCAGTTTTAAAGAAAAAAATCTGAGTAAGTCCTGCCAAAAATATTTGTAAGTGACTGCATAGCTGTAGCTCAGGAGTCAAATACACCCTTGAATAATGAAGCCTGTTCTTAGGTAAGCCAGAAGTTCATGAACTCTTTAAATCCTATGGTGTATCTGGGGTTTTCCACAAACAGCTGAAATCTCATTTTAGCTGGATATTGCCTCCTCAGAAAGAAACCAGAATCTGCAGCCAGAAGAAAAATCCTGAAGGGGTGAAGTAGTTCAGAGGGCAGTTAAATGCAAATACAGTAAATACAAAGAACCCAGCAAACTGCAAGGGAGAGGAGGCTTTAAGAGAATTAGACTGAGTCATGTTGGATGGGGGAGGCCCTCTGGTTGTGCACCCTTGCAATATTAACTGTGATTAGTGGGATGAGAATGCAAATATTACTTAAAGTTTATAAACCAGATTGAACAGTGTCCACAACTAACACTGCTGAAAACAGCAGCTCCCTACCAAGGCAGTGGGAGGATGAAAAGATAACCCTACAAAGTGACAGTGAAAGAGGATTAAGTCTGACAATTTTCCTAGAATGAGAGATGCTGTCTGGCTCTTGGAGCTGGGTAAAGAGAGAGCAGAAAGCCAAGCACAGAGGGAAAGGAGCTTCTCCAAGGGCATTAACCCCTCGCTGCAGGTGAAATGGCTGAAATGCTGATGAGGGTGCACTCAGGCAGAGTCAGGTCAGTCTGGTACCACATCCCTGGAGAGGTTCTGCCCATGGAACAACAGCTCCCAGCTCTGCGCCCCTGTCAGGCTTCTGTTCTCATGTACACAGCCAGAAATTGTCTTCCTTGGTCTTGGTATTTCTTAATTTTAGTTTTAACTTTGTTTTGCCTCACAGGAAACGAAGCTTGGACAGTGGAGTACAGCTACTTTTAAAAGTTCTGAGGAACAAAATAAGTTTTTTAGACTGTTGGGTGGTTTTAAAAAGGGTCCTGTGCCTATCCAAAGTCCTTCAGCAATTGCAAACAAACCAAACATGGCTCTGAACCAGGAAGGGGAGGAGAAGTTACAGCAGGCTCTGAAGATGGAGTTTGATAAAGCAATGGACTTCAAGCAACACAGAGGAATTGGTCTTGGATTTCAGCCTAATGCCAACAAAAAAGGATACATAGACAAATATGCATCTAGATCTATAAAATTTGAATATTAAAACTCAGAAGTAATAAAGAGAGGAAAATTTCTTTTTGCCTTCTACATTTTTTTACTTGAAATAAAATATCGAAATGCCGAAGAAATTTCATTCATTAAGTCCTTGAAGTTCAAGTTTTCAGCTACATATACCAGTGGAGCTGAGTCCTCACTTCATCCAAACAGTAAGTTTTTGAAACCTTTATTATGTTCTGCAAGGCAAGAGACAACCTCCTTCAGAGACTGAAGATGTGTGCCATGCCTGCAATTAGTTCCGTTTATTTTTTTAAATGCAGAAATTCCGTATTTTTTTTTAAATGCTGATTTAATAAACTTACTTTTATCTATATCATAAGTGATTCCAAAGGATTTTATTGTTCTGTAAAATCTTAACATTTTTTTACACTCGGTGGTAGAAAATGATGGTGCTTTACTTTGAAGACACATTAGTGATGTGCCCTTAAATTTGATGAGGGCAGACTTTTAACTCAGGAAGTAATTCTTTAAAATCTAATATCTTCCTTATAACAACAGATGGCACTGAACATCCTCAATATTGGAACTATGCTCTGGCAGTTGGATTTTCCATCAGCAAATGTTACCTAAAAATGGAAGTATAAGCATTTTGGAGAGTAGCACCAATAGAACTACTCCATTTCTTTATTTTTTAAGACAGTTTCACTTTTACACAATAGTTTTCTGCAATGGACTGCTCTAGCTGAAAGCATCTGCCTGCAGCAGAAAACACACTTAGAAGCACTGGGTTCTGATGCATTTTGGACAACTCTTGAGAGGAAGTGAAAATTCTGCAGAGACTCCATCTGAAGGGGCTGCCATGAATCCATTCCTGTATCTGGGAAGAGGGAGATGCTCTTCCTGCAGGGTCTAAACTTCCTGGAGAAAACCTTCTCTAAAGTTCATTTAAACCTCTCCTACCTCAACATGAGGCTGATTTGCACTACTGCTCTCAGTGTTCAGCACCAGCTCCATCAGCCCTTCTAGATTTTGGCTCTTGTTTTACTAAAATTCAGGTAGCTGAGGTTCTGTTTTCTCCTCTGGTTTGAAACAAATGCTGAATTTGAGCCCTCAGCTACTTGCCTGGCAAGAAGAAAAAAAAAACCCACTAAGCAAAAGTAGAAATAGATATTAGATCTCAACATGGTTCCTTACCATGGGGCAGAAGGGGTGAGAGTGAAATTTTATTAGAAATAATAACAGTATGTGTAACTAAATTCCAGAAGGGTAAGGTGATAGATTTGTATACACAAACTCCCCCAGAACACACAGATGAACTGCAAATTGTTTTATTCAGTGATAGGTACTTTGCAAATATAGAGGACTTTGCATAATTTCCATTTTCCTTTGCAACACTTAAAGATTCCTTCCATTTTACAAAACTCCACTGGACTAAAATGAAAACATAAACATGTCTGTGTTGATGTATTGTAGAAATTAGAGCAGTAACACCTCAGCCATTGTTCTCTGCTACTGGATGGAACCAGCCAGGCAAATGCTGGCAGCATCCCAAAGCAGAGAGAAAACTTAGTCTGTTCTATTGAAATGCTGCTTTCTGCAGAGGAGAATGACTATTCTGCAAGAGGAATGAAGTTTTGAGGCTGTGACCTCATTCCTACAGATTATCTTCCTTTTTCATTAAAATTACAACAGATTAGATCTCAAAAGGCTTTTGCAACCATAGAGGTTCAAGATAACTGTTTACTGAATGTAAATCAGCATTTAAAATAAGAATGCTATGGTAAAACTGGATACAGAAACTCAGGTTAAATTATTGCACTCAGAACAGTTTTACCTTTGCTGTGCCCAAGTAAATGTGTCTCACTAAGGAAAGTAACAATACACTGATGGATCAGTGATTTGTGGCCTTGCTTCCCTGCTCCCTTGTGCAGGTGGCTCCCTGGAAGAGGCACCATCAGGTCCTGGACTGCAGAGGAAGGCGGAGGGCCAGGTCTGTGAAATGACTCATTTCAGGTTGTTTGCTCTTCCTCTTGATGTATTCCAGGGTTTTCACCTAGATTTGAAATTGAGAGGTATTTGGAGATTTTCAGTGTCTCATTTCATAGCCATCAGTTCATCTTTGTGAAGGGGTTTTACATCATGCTCTTTATCATGTATATGTTTCTGAAAGGCTCTCAAATACCACTTTACAAACTTTCACCAGGCAGTTCCTCCACAAAATAAAAATGCAGTATTTCTCTTAGAGCTAGTTTTCTGGTAGTTAAGAACAACCAACACTTTCAGGTTCCTTAATGCTTTTCATACTATTAAAATTCTAGAAAGATACAGACCACTTGAAATAAGACAAGTTGCTTGTTCATTAAGAAGCATTTAGAAAAAATAACTTGTTGGGGTTTTAAGAGAATTTGATTTTTTTTTTAAAGATAGTCGCTTGTGAAGAGATGAGGTTTATTCAATTCAAGAAAATGTTGCCTTTTCCCAAATAAAGATTGGAAAAGATATTAAAAACTGAAACCTCTGTGCATTTTGTGTCTCCCTCCCTTACCATAGTCTTGGTGTCAGCAAAGCCATGCTTCTGAGCAAGATTCCAGAGATTGACTGAGAGCTGGTTCAGTCTGTTGTTCCGTAGGTCCCCATGAGCCAGGATGGTGTTAAAGAAATAGAGAGCCAGCTGGCTCTGCCTCTTCAGGGTCTAGGATGAGAACAAAAATATTCCCATGTTACTGTACACTCATCCCAAAACACCCAGCTTAACCTCACAGCCTCTCTGAACCCTCAGGAGTTCAAAGGACACTTCTTTTGTGACACACAGCAAGAGTTACAGACATAAAAATACAGTCAGGGTTTTCATACTCCATTCAAAATGCAACAAACAGCACTGGCTGTAAATCAACATAAGCTGCTGTAAATAAAATAATTACTCAGGACTCCTACATCTCATCCCACTTGGGCACAGCACAGAATGTAAGTCTGACACATTTACAACTCCAGACTCCCTACAACTGCACAGAAATCACCCTCCCACCAACCAACCTTGCACTTAGAGCACCCTGGCTGTAAATTTTTAGAGACCACTGTCATTAATCTAAATTAATGCAACTTTAGGCGTTTTGCCCCCCGTCTATTCAACTTTTATTTATTTATTTAACCAAAGATGTTTTTCCCTGCTATTATTTCACTGAAACTCTGGTGATTTGAACATATTTTCACCATATTTGTAGCTACTTCCCCTAAATTTGCTGAGGAAGGACCTTAAGGAGCATAAGAGCAGTTTCCCCCACACACAAAGCAGAGAGGATTCACTGCTACATGTTCTCCTGACCAGAAACAGCTTGAACTTTACAGAACTGTCCAGAACTAAAAATTTCCATTCCAGCACTGTCACACAAATGAAGCATTCTCTAACATTGTGAAAAGACCACACTGTGTTAACAATAAGATGCATTGTTCTCTTCCAAGTTGCCATTCTGGTGAAAGGATTTTATTGTGAGAAAAATTTATTTTCCTTTATAGCTTTTAAAGGAAATGAACCAATGAAAACACAAAATCATTAGAGCCTTGTTCATTTAAATGAGCAGCCAAGAAGATGAATAATAAAAGGTCACCAACACTGAAGCAATCCAAATACCACAGTGATTTTATGACCAGCTTTACTTCAGCCCAATTAGAGATCTCTGACAATATTCTCATCACTTCTATTTCCTCAGCAACAACAGCTTCCTCAAACAACTATTCATTCTTACAAAGCAATTTTTATCTAAATCTCTCAATGACTTTCACTCAACAAAGCAAAACAAACGGTCCCTCTTTGCAAATAAGGATGCACAGAGGAGTAAATCCAAGGTGCAGAGGCAAAGGCAGGCCAGGCACCTGTATCTGTGCTGCTCAGCCTTAAATCCAGTTGTCTGAGCAACAACAGCCTCAGTGAACTAACACAGGGTCTCCCTACTCAAAGCATGCTTGAAAGGAGAAAACAAACAAAAAAAGGCCTTTCAGAAACCATGGATTTCAAGCCCTACAAACATTCCTACCCACAAATTCCATACAGTAGTCAGTTGCAAAAAAATCTCTAATATACAACCCACATTCCTGAAAACTGTTTAAATTTCCTTCCAAGGCCTGGAACATTGGGCATTCTTAGCTCTGCTGGAATGGATGTTTCTGCTGCTGCTGTTCTGAAAAAGAACTGCTGTTCCCTGAGGTGATGTGTACAATGATGTACAGGATTTGAGCAAAGGATATTTTCATCTTCCATCTCTGCCATTGCTCAAGGAAGGACAAACAGGATAGCAAAAGCAGAGAAAAGGCTAAACTTAGCACAGTGTCCTCCCAATATGTATCACTTAACACATTCTGTATTGGCAAACACTCTGGGCTACTGTGCAAATAGCCCATCTAAAAAATTCCATCCAATCAATCACACCCTGCCCTCCCATGCCAGGCCAGCAGCCACAGGGTTTCTATCAATAGCAGCCATCCAGTAAGGGCTGCCTGGGAGCTGTCCCTTCTCAGAAGCAGGTACATTAGAGAACACTGAGTTCTCATTATTTCAGCAAACATCAGTCACCTGCCTTTCACATCCAATCCATTAAGCTAGATTTGATCCCTCAGAGCCTCTGAATTACAATCAAGAAATCCAATAAGCTGCCTAGAGATTTCTTTATTTTATATTTAACAAATATACTAAAGTCAGAGTAAAGACAAAACAACTATTTCCTCCCTCTGTACCTCTCTCCTGACATCATCTCAGTGCCTGGGATCTGAATGTTTTATAATTATAGGTGGCTTTCATTGTGTTTTCCCCACTAATAGACTGTGAATTTTCACTTTGCTCATTACTGAATTGGACATCATTAGGTGTCCACCACAAGCCTGCCTATGTGATGGTCTCACTTTCTAAACAAGTTAAAATATCCAATTTCCTTTTGTTATAAAGTTCCTGAAGCTTTTGAAAAGACCAAGTCCTGGTCAAAGCTGTTCTGTTTCTTCAACCCCAAATTACTTTTGGTTTTGTACTGACTCAAGCTGAGTGAGAACATACCTCCTCCTTTCCCAGGGTTTTCAGATGATCCAGGATCTGTGACACCACTGTCTCACTCAGTTTATTAATTTC